ATTTTTCAATTTTTTTTAGAGTCGGTATGAGTCGCTTCGCATGGGTTTTGATCAGTAAGAGGATGGGGTTTCATATTGTCGTCAACGTGTTCTCAGTTATTGATGATTCCTCCGTGTTTCAATTTGTGAGTGGAGTATTTCGAGGTTATGAGTTGTGCGAGAAGGAAGATCAATGGTCGTAGCAAGACATTATGAGATTATGTGATGGTATGTCGCGGTATCTGAGTATGATACCGTGAGTGGAAGACCAGTGGTTGATTCAAGTGAGCGTGAGATTATGTGATGGTGTATCGGGGTATCCGAGTATGATGCCCTAAGTTGATTGGATTATTTTGAGACTCGAGTTTATGAAATGGCAAGTGGAGTACCGAGTAACTATTGTTCCAGTGGGAACCCATCAACTAATTGTCATCGGGCGGGGATTGTCCAAGAATGCGAATTGTATCGAGAGAAAGTGCGTTGTTGCGACAATTGTCGTCAGGAGTAGTGATGTTCAGTCTAGATGGGTGGGTGCACCTGTCCATGATGGATCGAGGAGCATGAGTTTAGTGAATGCAATATGGTGATGGCTTAATGATGAGATTGTGGGGCGGTAAGAGAGTGGAAGGATCCATGTGGGAGTAATCACTTTGTAATATCAGGGAAAACCATAGGGAGAGCCCATGACGAGCGAGTGAGTGATGTAAGCCTGCGGGGAGCCGTACATTCACGAGTCAGTGAGTGAGTGTCGTAAGCCTGCGGGGGGCCGTGACATTCACGATTCAATGTGAGAGTGTTGCAAGTATGCGGGGAGCCGTAGCACTCATTAGTCAGTAAAAGAGTATTATAACATTGCGGGGAGCAGTGGTGTTCACTAGTCAGAGCATGACGTAGAGGAGTTCTTAGGCTTAGGTAGCCTTGGTGAATGAGTTTTTGGGAACCTGGTGGCCGGGCTAGGGGCGAGACTGAGGTCTCCATGATGGTCGAGATCCGTTATATCTTGAATTGGGGAGAGGTTGTTACAAGTCGGAAGGAATTAGAGAAGTAATGTATGTGTAGATTCGCGGATCACGGGTCATGAGTTGAGTTTGGCCATATTTGTATAAAGGATAGATGAGTTGAGATTTTAGGTTCCTGATGGATTTCAATTTGAGTGGTTATGGTTTGCAGATGATGTTCTAGACCTGGGAGGGTCGGTTCGTTTGATTTGAGAAGGACCGCAACACACATGGAGTTAGTGAGGGTTAGATGACAGAGGTCGGAAATGATGTGAGACTACATATCGGTTGTAATATAGCTGGGAGTAAAGAGAACTTAGTGGTTGCATGTACATGTGGTTGGTTGAGATAGCTCTATTGGATTGAACGGCTGGGGTTATGCTCGGGCTTGTGGCCATGCCGTTCAAGTTGTTGGGTGTGTAAGGGATGACGAGGAAAGATTTCGAGGACGAAATCTAATTTAAGTGGGGGAGAGTTGTAACATCCCATATATTAAATAAATAAATAGATAAGGGTTGATATGAATAATAATCATAAAGTAAATAATATTTAGCGGGGTGTTGGCGTTGGGGAGCCAATTGATATAATTTTAGAAGTTGGCAAATTATTGAGACTCAATTTGAAAAGATTTGTGAGGCTCAGGGGCTAAATGGTTAGTTTTGGATTTATTATGAAAAGAATTATAGAAGTAAGGGCTAAAAGGTAAATTTCGGATTTAAAATGAAGAGTTTGTGAATTGGAGGGACCGGTTCTGCCATTTCGCTATCAAGTTTGTGTGGAGCGGGTTTTAGTATCGTGCTTTCCATTCCCGTGTGATATAGCGCCATTAAACAAATCCTAACCCTAAGGACTAACCAACCGCCACCACCTTGGAAGTGTTCTTCAGCCGCCGCCCCTGCTGTGACCGAGCACCACCCTACTGCTGCAGCCTCGCCATCGGTTGTCGCCATTGCGATACCTACTGCCGGAGACGTGAAGGAAGCCGGAGTAGCCACCGAGAATGCCACCATAATGCCAGAAACGCTGTGGCGGTCGAAGAAACCATCGGGACCGAGTGTTGAAGCCTTGATTTGTTGTTGTGTTGGGTATGTGCGAATGGGAAGCTGCCGGTAAGTCAAAACGCCACCACCTCCTCCCGTTTTTGTTATTGTTGTGTATGCGATGCTGTTTGGGGTCACCGGTGGCCTTGGGACACCGTTCATGTGCTTTCGGTCGTCACCTGCCACCTGAAGTGGCTGAGTTGAGTGTACGTCGGTGTTCAACTCATGTTTACGAGCGTTTGTGTGTTTGCTCGACTGGGGACCAAGAGAATCCACCACTACCGTGAGGTGGTGGCTGTCGCTCCCTACCACTGCCTGCCACCGCGTGGGTGGCTGTGTGTGTGTGTTTATTGTGTTTTTTGGGTGTGTAATGGTCGATTGATGTTGTTTGAGCGATGTTTTGGTCGGAAAAGTAACCACCACCATTGGAAATGGTGGCTGTCGCCGCCGACCACCACCGCCCGGGGTGGCGGTGGGTGGTGCCCGATCTAGTGGAACCCTAATGGGCCTAAATACTTAATCTTGGACTTGGCTGTTTTGTGATTGGGCTAGAAAACCCTAATTTTGGGTTTGTTAGTTTGGATTTTACCGAGACCCGCAGTTGGACTGTTAGATTGATACCGTGAATTATGTCCGACTTCATTGTGTGAATGGCCTAGTGGAGTGATGGACTTAATGGGTTAAGTGAGAAACACTTAACTCTAATCGTCATTTTATGTGAAAACCCTAATTTTTCTTCGGCCTTTCTATTAGGCTTTGGTGTTTGGGCTATTGATGGGCCATCCAAGAGCAATAGTAGGGCCATTAGCGGACCTTTGAGGACCCATTTGGTATTAGGCCTTGGTGGGCCCAATGGGCTTAGGTTATTTATGGGATGAGTTGGTGGACCATGTTTAGACCTAATATGTGAAGGTTTTGTCTTAAATCCTAATGGGGTTAATTGTGGGTTTGGCTCAATGTTAGAGGTCGGAGCTCAACAACAACATTTATAGGATCTGTTCGCTAGCCGAGGTGAGTCTTCTCACTATACTTACCCGTGTGGTGATTTATGTGTGACCTGAGGGTCTTATTTGTGTTATTGACCGGAGGGTCTTATTTACATTAATGACCGGAGGGTCATAGTACATTGTAGACCGGAGTGACTTAGTACATTGTAGACCGGAGGGTCTTAGTACATGATAGACCGGAGGGTCTTATTTGTTTATAATGTGATATATGATATCATGCATTCTGTCTTTGTGACTTATGCTGTTATAGTATTTTGTGTATATGTTGATCTTATGTGCTTATACTGAGATATGTGATATCATGCAATCTGTCTTGTGATTTATGATGTATATTATTCTGTGCATTGTGGAGATATGACCAAAGGGTCCAATCCGAGTTGTGGGACCGAAGGGTTTCCACTGAGTTAGGACCGGAGGGTCCACCCGAGTTGTGGGACCGGAGGGTCTCACTGAGATACATTAACCAGAGGGTCTTATTTGGGTATAGCCATGAGAGGCTTATGTGATGTGTGTGGTATTTTGGGGAACTCACTAAGCTTCGTGCTTACCGTGTTATGTGATATGTGTTTCAGGTATTTTTTAGGATTACAGATAGGCGCCGACTTGATTGTACACACGAGATAGAGTTGTATTTCGAGGATCCTGGATTTTATTCAAATAATTATGAACACGTGTTTTTGATAATTGATATATATTAAGATTTGTGAGATGTGTTGATGATAGTTATGTGATTTTAAAAATGAAAAATTTTGTGTGAAAATTTACGGTGTTACAGATTTGAATTCGACGAATAACACATACCAAAGATGGCAACTGTCAACCAGTATTATAACTCGAAAACCTTAGCATTATCTAGCGTCGTAACTTGACAAACATAGCGGACCCCTAGCATTATCTGGCGACGTGTCGCCACTACCTCTGCAAACTCATTGTCTTCGCCAAACTCCGGTGGTGATCAACAGGTAAGGGTAGTGAAGTGAAGGCGATTGCTCTGACGATCGTCCAACAGTGAAGGGAGTGACGGCGACAAAGATAAAAGGGAAGAAGGTATATGTGTTAAAAGATATGGGTTTAGTAGGTGGGATACGGATCAGATGGTTTCTTTTTGTTTTTTTTTAATTAGAAAAACGTTAAAGTAAATAAAAAAATGGAAAAAGAAAATGCGAAGGGCAAATCTGTCATTTTAAATATTTTCAAAAAAAACTCGGACCAAAACCACAACAAAAAACTTATTTTGGACCAATGATGCTAGTCCAAAAAATTTTGTACCAAAGTGACAATTTTTGACAAAACTACATGGACTATTTTTGCAATTTTGTTTTAATAACATTTTTACCAAAATACTTCCTCATTATTATTTAACCAACTAAGTATTTAATAGAACATTAAATACAAAGTAAGAACAAAATTATCATTTTATTGTATAAAGTTAGTGGTAATTAATGTTTCATTAATCTGTGTGTTTTTCGTCTGCACAATAATTTTGGGATAAAGGGAGTGTATCTCATTAAATGCATATCTAAGAAAATTGTTATTTGTTTGTTTTTTTATTTGGATTCTCATTTTTGAAAAGAAATCAATCAACAATCTAGTTTACTAAGTCGATTTAGGTACGACACAATCCAAAAGTCAAATACCAAACGAAATTGGATGTAAGCACCAAAACAATATCTACTTTTACGCATAACTTCAAATTCTCGTATACGTTATGTCTGAACTACAATAAAAAGGAAGAAATTCTAGTGACTAGCCATGGTTGGCATTGACCATGGGGCATTAGTAATCTAAGGGGTTCTAAAAATGACGAGAATTTTAGGAGATATCAAAGGAAATGATTATAATACCGCACCCATAAAAAGGCACCATCATCTCAATCATAAAAAGGCAAAGAGATAAAACCGAAAATTGGATATAAATTAAACCATAAGCATTAGCCACACGTTTCAAAACAAAGGACGAGGATTGAAACAAAATGTAAATCACAAAATCCAAATTCACCATCCATGGTTCTCAACATATGCAAATGCAAATGCAAATGCAAATGCAAAAAAAAAAAAAAAAAAAAAAAAAAAAAAAAAAAGGGTGATAACATGTCATGATGACTCATCCAAGAGATTAACATTCAAACATTCATGTGGGAAATACCACCACTCATCTGCAGGAAAAAACCTGCCATGTCCACTTCCATTAGTAACATCATATCTCGGGTACTGTGACCAAGGCTCAGCCCACAACTCTGGTTTAACAGCAGCACTATGACCCGCTTGGCTGATAAAGAAACCACATTGGTCTCCTGTATCTTGAAAAGGCACCCATTCCATTTCACCAAAGTCTAGTTTATAAAACTTGATCACATCTGCATATGTTGAGCTTTCTGTCACATAAAGGTTTTCACCGCAACTTACAAGCTGTGGAAAAAATATGTCTGGTTCGTGCTCAGGCTCATCCAGAAGAATCTTGGTTTCGAGTAATGTCACTCTGGGCTCAGGATTGAGTGTGAGTTCACATAAATGATAATTATAAGCGTTTAAAGTATATATCTTCCCCTTAAAAACATGTAAATCCTTATAATAGGTGAAGTCGAAAGTGGAGGAAACACAATTCCATGTTCCCTCATCCTCTATAGAAAACCATATTTGCTTCTTGGCTAACATAACAAACACCAATTTAGATATTGAAGGTGAAAATACAAGGACAGAAGTGACGCCTGATACATAATCAGACACCCAAGGGGCAGGAGGAAAAAAAAGTTCATGTCTAGTGATTGGATTCACAAGCCAGAAGTCCTTGGTTTTTATCCTGAACAAGATCAAGTAACCACCCGTAAATCCACAACAATACATTCCAGCAGAATGCGTTAGTGTGGTTTTGAACTTTCTTCGTTCATGGTCCTTTAGGCAGAATTTCTTATCCTTATTAATACCACGGGAAGGGATCCACATCAGCATTGGTGGTTTGGATACCATAAACCTTTTCCTGTTACTGAGTGCTACTGATCTCCATGACTTGCAAGCCCCACTGAATGCAAGAAAATCGATGACTCCAAGTTGCATCATGACTATCGAAAGCAGATCATGGTTGAGGTACAACCAAGGTCCCACATCATCAGTCTTGATAGTCTTGCTGTTAGACGCATCATCATCATTCTGGTTTCTAGTCACTCTCCTTGTCATATCCACTTCTACATTAGCAAAAGACAAAAAAAAAAAAAAAATCTTGGTAACATGCAAACTGCACGGAGTCTTACAACGCTTGTAAACAGAAAAAGAGAAAACAATCACAAAAATGAACAGGATCCGCAAGTGATAACAAACACAAATACAATGAACAGGATCCGCAAGTAATAACAAACACAAAATAATTACAGACTACATCATATACAATGTAATTAGCAGTTCTACAATGATAAATGCTCTTAACAAGAAAGGGTAGATCAGCTATTCAGCCACATGGTAAAAATGTTCCTTTATGAACCAAAAAGAAGGTTCTGACTACAGCGATATCTTTCTTTACCCTAAGGCTTTTTCCTGTGTTTATGCTTCTTGTAATCCGAAGCAACAATACCAAATTCAAACAAACCCTATATCACTTATAAGAAACACTATATCAATTATCCAACTATCATAAGACATCATATATAATCAAAAAAACTTAAAAGACCAAATAATCACACAATCAAAACATTTCAGGTAACATGAATACTTATCACAACAAACGAAACTCAAATTAGTAAACGGTTCAAAATGCATTTCATGAAACACATAAAGATAACCAAATCGTCTAAACTAACCTGAGTGACGCCCGATCAAATAAACTCCGATTTGAAAGAGAATCAAAAGATCAGGGTGAGATGCGTGGCAAAAGGGAATAGCGAATACCGCACGAATGTTTTGGGAGTTCGTGTGCTAGACTCTTTTTGTCTGAGAATTTTGTCTTCGTTAAATTAAACTAAGCTAAGCAGTAAATTACATATTTGATCCCTATGGCTTTCCAAAATTCACAACTTTGGTCCTAGTGTTGGACTTTGACTTGGTTTGTGCTTGTGGTCCATAATCCTAAAAAATCATCTTACCCTTTTTAATATTTTTTATTATAAGCCATAAAAACTGTTTTTCCATTTTTTTTTTGTCTATGACATTAATCATTTTCATCGATAGTCATACAATATCACTCACGTTTTACTCTTCTGGTTCATTTAATTGTATGTATTAAGAGACTGACAAAATATCTTACCAGTTACCAAAATCAAAATTTAAGGTCCACCAAACCACACACACCTACCAAAAAGGAATAAATATTTGAATTATATGGACACTTTCTTTTAAATTTATTTCTCCTGTGAGTATCTGGTTCTCCATAAATAATTCATTTGGATAATCATATGACTTATAGTAAACACTTAAAATCTCAAGCACAAGAACAACTAGTGTTATACCCGTCCAGTGGTCGTTGCCGGACTGACCGATGTAAAAACACTAGATCAATTTTACTTTCTTTTATAACATCCTATTTTCATTTGTTACCATTAATCCATTATAATATTGTACTGTGGACAAATATACTCAATTATAGTTACATTATTCATATAAAGTTGTTCATTTTTTTTATAGACAATGCATTTGGAGCATTCAGGCACCAATATCATAATACATGACAAAAAATATCATGTTCTTCCCACAAATATAAACATTTATTTCATATTTTGAAACCTTTTAGGCATCATATCATAATACTCAATAATCACAAAATCCACAATATATAACATTTCTTAAATTTAACAAAAGCTTTCAAATTTTAGACTTTAATCAAAAGTTATCATCTTGAAGTGACTGAAGTGACTGGCTTGCAACTGCATCAAGCTCTACCTCATGCCTGCAAAGAGTAAGTTTCATATCATCATTCATTTGATACAACACTTTATTCAGGAATAACTTAATGAACAGAAAAGGAAACAAAGTCTTAGTCTTATTAGACACCCTACTTATAACTGTAATGTTCGTTGTTTCTTTCATATGATAAGAATTTGCTTTCCCAAAATTAGAAGAAATGAATATATATAAAACATAACCAATTTTTGTTTTTTTGGAAGACTTGAGTAATTTGCCTACATAAAAATGACGCTGCTACTAAGGATCAATAAGGGAAAAAGCGTCAAAGATGTTCGATTCAAGTTTAGCTTTTATGTGATGTGTTGGGTATTTTCAAGTCCTAAGTGTTTTAGATGATGTTTCATAGTTCCAAACAATGATATGAGTTTGATGTTATGTCTAGAAAATGTATTCCATTCCAATCTATGATCCATGTGACACTCTTTGTCCCATGGTGAGGTTTTATGTATTTTGGTGCACCCTTGGATGTATGATGATTTAATAATATCTTGATCATGAATGATATCTAATATTTATCTCAAATGTAAGTACATTGTTAAGTCTAGCATTGGTATTTAATCACCCTTTGGGGATTATGAAATAAATTGTTTATCTAGTGTCATAAATGGTGTCTTAATGGTTTTAAAAGTTCATAAGAGTATTGGAATTTGGAATTGAGCATGTTTCAGGTTTAAAGTGTTTGTAATGTCTTTTTCCTCATAAAAATGGCTTTGATATGAGTATTAGTATGTTGGATTCATACCAATTGGTCTTTTGAAGCAATTCCCTTTTTTATAAATGTGTAGACGTTTTTCCTCATTTTTAAATTTTAGATTTCCATTTATCTTAAAATGATTTTTTTATAAATGTGTAGACGTTTTAAGGTTATTCCAAGGATATGAACCAACTGGCGATCTTTTCTTATGTGGATAAACGCGGTTGAAACATCGAATATGTTGGCCAAATAAAAAATGGAAAGCTACAAAAAGAATATCATTTTACTTTGGGAAATTTTCCGGTTAACCATTTATATTTTATCTTTTCCAATTAAACCAAGGACATTCGATATTTTCCCAAACTAAAATTTGTAACCGGAGGTCAAAATTGAAACTTGATGTTAAACTGGTTAACGTAGAAAATCACCGGTGAGTGGTTGAGGTGCCCCAAAAACACAACAAATTAATCAGGAACAACCCCAAATATGGTCAAGATAAACATTCTTTCTATTTACCGATTGTACTTGACACCTCCAAGCATTCCAACTAAATCCTCAAACCCACTGAAAGATGCTATATATTTTTGAAAAAAATGGACAACACAATTGCAAAAATAAGCTAAGGTATGGGATATAAAGGTTAACTGGTACACAAAAATATATAGGTTACGAAAGGTTGACCAAGATACATTATTTTTGTTATCATTTATCATGGCATATACTCTAATAACCACAACGTGTCAAAGGCGTTACCTCACGTTCAGTCTGTTGTTTAAATCAAGATATCCCTTCATTTTCAAACGTACGTCCATAATTTGATAACCATAACTATGAGCAAGTTTGTACACATACTAATGAATGGAACTCGACAGACTTTTCTGTTTTCAAATCATAAACTCTATAAAAGAACATATCAATTCAATCTTTAAGGACAAGTCAGCACCTTTAAACACTATTAACGATGGTTACACACGTAAGTAGACACTCTTTGATATATCAAGACACAGTTATATGTTTGTGACCAAAATTCAAAAAATTAACAAACACTGGATGATAGATTTGAGTTGAAGGACCACATACATTTAAGATGAGATACCAAAGCATAGATGCTTCTTGGAAAAATAAAAAAATAAATATGACATTTTAACACACAAACTAACTCCCATGCATAAAAAGAACATACATACAAAGCAAAATTAGGCCAAAAGTCTTAAAGCGCTTAAAGCCCTTAACCAAGAACACAAAGAAACACCAAAATGATCGGATGAAACTAAAACTATTGTAAGGTAGCCTGTCATACAAGGAAACTTTGTTGTTGCAAAATATAGTTGTTCAGCCTACTTCGGACTCTAATATGCTATAACTTAACCACAAAGACAAAAATGGAATTCTAGAGAAGGGACATGGTATTGATGGCATTCACCATGGTAAGTTAATAATCTCTAGGATTTTCAGCAGGTATCAGAAAACATGACTATAAGACCTCATCCATAAAAAGGCACCATCATCTCAATCATAAAAAGGCTAAAAGATAAAACCAAAACTTGATGAGTTAAACAAGATGCATTAGTCACACATTTCAAAGCAAAAGACACCATATCACATAAAAGATATGAATTGCAAAAACCAAATTCACCAACATATGCAAAGATCATAAGAGTGGTAAAAAGTCATGATGACTCATCTAAGAGATTAACATTCAAACATTCATGCGGGAAATACCACCCCTCATTTTCAGGAAAATATCTACCATGTCCACCTCCATTACCAACATCATATCTTGGGTAGTGTGACCAAGGGTCAGCCCACAACTCTGGTTTTACAGCATCAACATGATCAAAAACGTAGCTCACAAAGAAACCATGTTCCTCTCCTGTATCTTGAAAAGGCACCCATTCCATTTCACCAAAGTCTAGTTTATAAACATTGATCACATCATCACGTATTGAGCAATCCATCATATAAAGGTTTTCACCACAACTTCCAAGCTGCGGGAAAAATAGAACCTTATCTAACACAAGATGCTTGGTTTTGAGTAACGTCACTTTTGGCTCGGGATTGAGTGTGAGTTCACATAAATGATAATTATTAGAGTTTAAAGTATATATCTTCCCCTTAAAAACATGTAAATCCTGATAAAACTTAAAGTCGAAAGTTGAGACACGATTCCATGCTCCCTCATCCGCTATAGAAAACCATATTTGCTCCTTGGCTAACATAACAAACACCAATTTAGATATTGAATGTGAAAATACAAGGACAGAAGTGACGCCTGATACATAATCAGACACCCAAGGGGCAGGAGGAAAAAAAAGTTCATGTCTAGTGATTGGATTCACAAGCCAGAAGTCCTTGGTTTTTATTTTGAACAAGATGAAGTAACCACAACTTAATCCAAGAAAACACATTCCAGCAGGATGCGTTAGTGTGGTTTTGAACTTTCTTCCTTCATAGTCCCCTAGGCAGCATTGCCAATCCTTATTTTTAAAACTAACAGAGATATCCATCAGCATTGGTGGTTTGGAAACCATAAATCTTTTCCAGTTACTGAGTGCTACAGATCTCCATGACTTGCAAACTCCATTGAATGCAACAAAATCAACAACTCCAAGTTTCATCATAACTAACGAAAGCACATCATGGTTGAGATATGACCAAGGACGTCCCACATCATCAGTTTTGATAGTCATACTGCTAGATTCATCATCATAACTCATGATTCTGGTTTCTACTCAGTCTCTCCTACACTTGCAATAGACAAAACAAACATTGTTGGTAAATGAAAAATTCCACATAACCATACAAGACTGGTAACAGAAAAAGGGATAAAAACAAGCAGAGGGATAAACAGTATATACAATCTGATTAGCTGTTCTACAAGATATGAAACATAAAAAGATAATCAAATCAACTAAACCAACCTAAGTGACGTTGCCCAATCAATTGAACTCCGATTTGCCAAAAAATCAACAGAACTAGGGTTAGATGCGTGATTCTTTCGAAAACAAAGGGAAAAAGCGAATGAACCGAGCGAATGGTTTGGGGTTTGTGCGCCAGGGATGTTTTTGACTTTTTGTTTGCGAATTTTGTCTTCGACTCTTCGGTATACTAAATTAAGGAGTAAATTAAGCATTTAGTCCCTATGGTTTTCCCTAATTCATAACTTTGGTCCTTATATTAGACTTTGACTTGTGTGGTCCTTGTGATTTGTATTTGTTGCACTTGTGGTCCCTAATCCATAGGAAACATCATCTTGCCCTTTTTAATATTTTGTTTCTTTTTCCTTTTACCCATTACAGAAATCAAATATTATATTACTTTTTTTTCCTATTTATCCTTCTACTCACCATATCAAGATAATTGTCAAAATCATGTTAAAAGATTAAGCAAAATTATTAGTAGATTTCACATGTTATTATTTTATATGAGTAGTAGGAAGATATTTAGTTTTTCATTTAAAAAATAGAAAAACCCACCCCACCTTTCAGCCAAAAAAAAATCATCAGCTTTTATCTTCTCTCCTTGCTATCGGCTCTTTGACAAACAAAAACATCTTTCATTAGTAACAAGAGAGAGAGAGAGAGAGAGAGAGAGAAAGAGAGAGAAACAGAATTCGATGAGGAAAACAAAGACCATGCTCGTTGATGACAAGCAAAATGAGTAACCTTTGGAATGAATTCGAGGCAAACTTTAATCTCCCCATAGAATTCATCATTTATCAACATATTGTGTGGTGTTGGTGAGATATTTCCTTACATGAATAATGTATCTCAAGTTTAATTATGCATTTTATAACTAACGTCAAAGCTAAAGGAATGCAAAATGTTTTTATTATGTAATTAGCCTGGTTCATAAGATCATATTTATAACCAATATCACCGTTCTTTTATCTTGTTCATTTTGTGTCATACCCAACTCAAGTTCAAAGAGACTTGTTATGTTATGTCTAAGCATGTGTCCCATACCAAATGCTACGTTACGTCTTTGTTTGGGATTATATATAATGTGTCTTCAAGAGATGAACCATGAATGCTCTTAACAAAGAAAGGGTATATCAGCCTCATGGTAAAAATGTTCGTTTATTGTAACGCACGTTGATCCGGGCTAGTCAATTTAGAGATAATAGGGGTCGAAAACGAATTTTTGACAAAAGATTATTTAGAATAAATAATCTTAACCAAGTTGAAGAATATGTCTCAAGGGTTCCGTACATATAAAGAGCGCCGAAATCCGAGTTATAACGAAGAAGTTATGGCCCGTCGAAGTTTTTCGGCAAAACCGGCAAGGCACCGGGAGACGTAAATAGTGAATTTACGATAGAAGACTTTTTAGCCTTAGTGATCTAAACAAAAGTTGTAGTATACGTTAAACTGAGAACATACAAAAAAAAGAACGCCAAAATCTGACTTCGTATGAGGAAGTTATGATTTTTCTAAGATTTGGCATAACAGTGCACGACCCGAAACTCGAATTTTAGTTCAAGCGGTTTTTGACTTACGTAACCTTAATGAGAGTTGAAGATCTCATTAATAGGAACTCAACGGTAAAAAGACAGACGAAAACGGAGTCCGTATGAAGGAGTTACGAATTCTTCGTGGTCATTTAACAGTCTAATCTCGTCCTACTGTTAAATCTAATATTGGTCGAGAATTAGCCAACGGAATCTAAATGAAAGTTGTAGATATTGTTTTTACCTACGCGTGGAAAAAAAGAACGTCGAAAACGGAGCTCGTATGCGAAAGTTACGGGGTTTAGAAGTCGGCAGGGTGCTGCTGCAAAAGGGGCGATGTGGCTGAATATGGGCCAAGGCTTTCTCCCCAAGAAAAGCCATCAGGTGATGACACGTGGCACCGACTCAGCGAGTCCATCAGGATTTCACCCTATAAATAGAGGTGTCGGGTTCTCTTATTTCCCACACCTCTCCCCTTCAACTTTCTCTCTCTAGACTCTCTCTCTCTAGCCCCCAACCCCCCCCCCCCCCTAAGCCTAGGTAAACCCCCCAGCACCCGAAGGAAGCCCCGAGGCTCCCAAAGCCCCGAGAAAAGAGCCTTTTGGCTCGGGAACACTGCTCCAGCGAAGCCCGGTTTTCGAGAAAACCTGCTGTAAGTGAGCTATGCCTACCCTTTCTTTACTATAGCTTATGTTTCAATATAGTAATGTTATTAGGACCTTATAAGGAGTATTTGGGCTATTATTATGAGTTATATAAGTATTGTTTAACGCTTATATAATAGTAATAATAGCTAGACTATTAATTAGTCTCGTCAAACGTTAGACTAAACTCTAGTGGTAATGATACTAGGTTTCGTCAAGGGATAATTGTTTTAAGAGTAACGAAGTGCTGTCCGAGTGCCGACTCACCACCTTACCAGGTGAGTGCATAGTTACTTTCATCTTACACATAGATATGAAGTATTTTATATAAATTACGTGCTATGTGTGCATATTATCTGAATACTTGCTGTCTATGCTGGACGAATGATTTTATACATGTTTAAATTATTTAAACTGTATATTTATTTTATAACTACAAATATGTTGGGTTAAAACATGGGTAGATGAAATAGTTGGTGTGTGATGAAATAAAATGATGAGAGATAGGTGATGATAATTAGGTGAGGATAGATAGGTGATGATGAATCGGTGATGTAGGATGAAAGATACTATAACCTTGTCCGACAATTTGGAGATGTAGTCATCTACCAGAGTATAGATGGCGACCACAGACTATTATAGACAACCCCGTGGAAACACCACCATGCCCATAACCTGTATGTGATGAATTACGAGTTCATGCGATGTTGTAACTACGTATTCATGCGATGATACTCTAACCCCTTACTATAATATACGAGTTCAGACGATGTTGTAACTACATATTCATGTGATGATACTCTAACCCCTTACTATGAATTACGAGTTCAGGCGATGTTGTAACTACGTATTCATGCGATGATACTCTAACCCCTTACTATGAATTACGAGTTCAGGCGATGTTGTAACTACGTATTCATGCGATGATGCCCTAACCCTCGTTGGGCACGTATTGAGGGAGTATTCCCTGAATCAATACTGTATATGCGATGTAAGCGATGATCCTTAAGGAGAGTCCTTAGGAACAAAAATATAAGGAAATGCGATGTAAGGAGATGAGAGGTAAATATGATGTAGGAGACGACCCTTAGGATAAATCCTTAGGGAAGGTACTTAGGAATAAAGAAGATAATGGGGATGGGTAATTGGGTTAATTGTTTGATGATTAAACATATTAATTATATTATTGCGGGTTGAAAACCCTATGTACACACCAGGTTTCCCAACCTGACCGACTCAGTTTACTTGTATCACAGGTGACGATGTGAAGTTACATTACACTGAGAGATTAAGGAGATATAGATCACTAGTGTAAATGAATGTAAGTTCTGTTTATGCTTATGTCTCTGTATTGACGATGACATCCCAAATGTTTTAAAATGAATAAAAATACATTTCTTCGGAAATGCTTTGATAATGAAATTACCATGTTTTTCTGGGAACAAATTCCGCAACGTTTTTATTAAAAGAGATACTCTGATTTTTATAAAGCATAAACAAAATCGGTCTTTTCTGGCCGTGAAAATGGGGATGTCACATTTATGAACTAACATAAAACATTATGTCGATGCTTTCTTTTTTAAATGTTGTAAATTTATACACACTCTACCGAATTGCTATAAAAAAGTACATTTAAAAGGGGCAAATCATCCGAGCATTCCGATTTATATGAGAATTGGAAGCTCGGTTATACAACCAAGAAAAAAAATAATGAATAATAGAATAAAAAATGGAATTCTTGCTCATTCAAGTAATATCACCTTCAAAAACTTGCTTGTTTCAATATCTCAAGATCATCCATGTAGTAGCTGCCCCAATAACCTCCAATTTAACATTTGTCAAAGCCGTCAGATGTCGATGCCTTCTTCTAATCAGAATCTTACATGTTCATTTATGAACTAACAAAAAACGATATGTCGACTTTGTCCACCCTTAAGGATTACAACGATATTCTTCTTATTTTGGTTAAACAAAATAAAGGGTTCTTATTATTTTTATAATCAACGAGAAAAGAGATTAAGGAGCAAAAGAAAATTTGTTGGATTAAATGCAAGAAATCCTATAACTTTTGTCATTTTATGTTATATAACGACCATAAAATTTCCAGCTAATTTAAACTCTTCAAAAACAATCCTTATCCATAAATTATTACAAAAGGTTTTCAATTTGTTTATTATCAGAGTCTCCTAGAAACATTAACATAAAAACGAGGAGCGGTACGATCACGCCATTGCCTTGCCACGATCTCCTGAAGTACCTGAAACAAAACACTGAACTGTAAGCCCGAAAGCTTAGTGAGTTACCCCCAAAATACCAACCACACATAACCATACTCATAACATATCACAAAACAGAACAACCATGCATATCGAGTCTACAGTGTGACTGGTCCGCCCGCACCGGGCCTTCAGTCCACCTGGTCCACCCTCCGAGTCTAGCCATGCATATCGAGTCTACAGTGTGATTGGTCCGCCCGCACCGGGCCTTCAATCCACCTGGTCCACTCTCTGAGTCTACAGTATGACTGGTCCGCCCGCACCGGGCCTTCATTCGGCCTGGTCCACTCTCCGAGCCTCGGCACGTCTGGTCCGCCCTCTTGGGGCCTTCAGCCTATCCGGACTGC